TTATATCTTTATAAAATAACAAGCAAAGATTTGTTAATACACTGAACCTCAAAATATTTGTACCTTCAACAATTATATTCATTTTGATAGTTGATTTTCGAGTGGACGGATTAACCGATACTGCCAATTTTTTTATTATTATTATTTTAGACTTTGATATTTATACTGTTGGGTAAAGGTTTTCTCAAACGTCTTTTTTGAGTTTATACGGGGTGGTCTGGGAGGAAGAAAAAAGGTTTTTCTTAATTTTGAGACACCCTATAGGGAGTACAAGTTAAAAGAATAGGTTTACATCCCACCATGGTGTATAGTCTTACCTTTTGTGAACATTTTATTTTTATAACTCCTCTGATATCTTTAAAACCAAAGAAAATAAGACTGTTTTATTCTTTAACATGTTTATTACTGTAACTGAAACAGAAAGAAACAGCGTAAACTAATACCGCGTGTTTGATACTACGCTTAAGATTGGTCTGCACCCCCCAAAAGACAAACTACACATTCAAAAAATTTGAGAAGTTATTTGTGATAACTAGGAGTATTTTGACAAATTTTGAGAAAACCTCACGTTTTCGTTTCCGAAAAACTCAACAAAACTACTTTTTTTTCAGTATAAAGTATAAAGCAGGAAAACCAAACATACAATTTTGTTAATTTTCTTACAGTATAAAGATATACCTAATCCTAAAAAGTACTTTTAAATTTTTTTGAAAATTTTTGAATGTTATAGTTTTGCCACAATAGGAAAAAATAATATGTTCCGGCTTATAATAAAGCTACCGGTAAGAAACCGGACAAGATTTTAATAACAACAACAAAGTGGAAAATATTTGCAATAAAACGTTGAATATTCGTTGTAAGTTATTCGTCGACCAAGTGAGCGGTATACACAGTGCAACATAAGAGGAACTAGATTGATTAATAGAGGATCTGTGATCTTTTGGGTGGAATTTCCTTGACAGCAAGAAATTACTCAAATTTCTTTGAACACATTGTTCCTTTCGCACCTTATATAGGAAATAATTTCATCTTAACGCATGACAACGCAAGGCCTTAAAGTATTGCATGTCGTTACTGAATATTTAAGTAAAGAAAATATTTAGAGCTTGAATTGGCCCTCTCACAGCCCCCACATGATTCCTATTGAACACTTATGGGATATTGTCAATAGACAATTAAGATTTGTCTCTTCCTGCTTTACTGTAAGATATAGAAACTATGGTTATGGATATCTGAAACACCATAGACCAAAATTAAATTTTTTCTTCCATCCGGTATAAGCCCAATATAGAAATTTGAGTAAGCCTTCTCCAACAGCGTAAATACCAAAGAAAAAGTCTAAAATAATAACTAATAATTCTAATCTAATTATAGTCTAAGAATTCACGATAAAATATTCAAAAGCATAATTTGTGGTGGCGCAAAAGTTTATTTTTTCTAAGCTCCTATCTATAAAAACATTTTGGGATGAGGCACGAGCCTCTAACACGTAAAAAAACTTCTTTATTGGTTTTGGAATCGTTTCCAGCAGTTAAGAAAATCTCAAAGTTCTCGCATATCCATCCAAAGACAAAAATATTTCCCCAGCGCAAGTAGGTATACAAACACAAAATGGATGATAGGAAAAGTGCTTACTTCTCCCATCCAACAAATAACTTACTCTCGACGAACAAGTAAAGAAGCAGTAACATATTCCATGTCTAAACCGTATCCACTCGAAAATCTCCTCGTTCCTATTTGTTCGTTTCTCTTTCTAGTCACGTTTCACCGCAACAACCGCAAGACGTAAGCCGCAAGCCTTGGGCAAATTCCTGATCGGCCGGCAAGGCTACACAACTTCTCGGGCTTTTGTTCGTTCTTTCCTGTACAAATATCCGGATGAAGTCTCGGGAAAAGTTCTTAGGAGGCGTTTCCAATAACATACTTCTTTGATACTCCCGAAAATAGTTTCGATGGAATCATTCTGGTCTGGATTTAACAAGAATTTTTATGTGTGCACTGAATATAAAATTCGTCGTAAACTAAAAAGTTTACAAACTACTTATTACCTTCGACGTTTAAGCTACCTCGTTTCGTTCGATTAGTGAAGGACGATTTCCTCAAATATTCTTGTTTTAAAATTGTCTTTGTTTCATCAAAAATATTGTTGTTAACGCTTGTAAAATAATTTATAGAAAAAACATTCCAAACAGCTAGATTTTTCATTTATAACAATCAAAGCTTTCCATGTAGAGTATTTACTGCAAAATGTACTGTGGCATTTGTTTCAATTTCGCGACTTTGTATAAATCTTGTTAGATATATTAAAATACATTTGTTAGTTTTGATTCTCCCCGTAGTATATTTAAACAAGATTCCGTGTACAAAAATACAGTTGTGTTAAAAACTACACATTACGAGACGAGCCATCTGCGAAATAACAGAGACGTGGATTAGAGATAAGAGACGAGTTCCATATGCCATATTAGACAGACGTGCGTTTGGGTTAACAGTACCTGACACACTTCGCTTCGGTCTTGTGACAGAGACAGTCGTTAAATGCAGTAAGGGTGGAGGTTGGTCCATTATCAATACTTTGTGGTTCCTGTACGTCAATGAAGACGTCTCGTGTCGTTAGCGGTTGGTGCTATCATGTCATTGAGTCAAGTACAATAAACCATTTATCTTGTTGCTGCATGGACCAAGTACGTTTACTTGGTGCCCAATTATTACACATTGTGTCGCGATTTTCAATCTTTGAACTTTAGTGCGAACATTTTACGTTTGGTTAAACGTTATTACCTTTATCGTAGATTTGTATATTTATTAAATTGTAATAATTTCACTATCCTTTTTTTTGTATGTATATCACAGCGTTCACGTGATGAGTTTACTAATTGTATTAATTTCATTATTAATTTAATGTGTATTTTATTACCGATTACACTTTTGAATTGAGTTTATTACTATTTGTATTACGTTCAATATAATTCATATGTTATGTCTGATTGCATTGTGTGTACCTTTTATTAACAAGGTCTGTTTATTTTACCACGAATTAATTATACTATTATATGTGCGCATATTTTTAACTATTTAACGTCTAATATCAATTTAGGCGTTATTTCTAATCATACTCAAACATAGCAATCAAAATCTCAAATTCCTTTGTTGTTAATGTGTTTTTTACACCTATTCATCGACATCCTGCATTCAGATATTCTTGTTTAGTTATAAGTGTATGTTTGTTTACGTATATTTATGTTTGATTTTACTTCTTTTTTCTAGTTGTTTAGTAGTCTAAACTTTTAAAAGTTTATATAGTCTACTCGTTTATTATTTTTCATCCAGTGAGTTCCAGTGAGATCCAGCGAGTTCTAGATTGAACATAATATATTCTCTCCCCTTTCTGATGATAACAATTGTTATATTGAGGTCATCGTATGTGCAGAACGCAACAGCATTTCTTCCGAGACGATTACAACATTAGAACACTCTAATCATTTAACCTCCACTAATCATATTTTTATTGTTGATAATAAATATGCAAAGTTCATTAAAAAATTTTAACACCGTTTAATAAATATCTGTACTATAAAGCGTTACACAATTTATACAAAAGATTATTATTAAAACCTAGTATTTTATCAAAAATTGATGACATCTTCATAGTCTATTTCATGTTCCTCAATGTAGTAGGACTACAACTCCTCCCACGACCAAAGGATTTTTCGATTCTACGAAGAGAGGCTTGTGGACTTACCGCACAGGGCCGCAATCAGCGATACGTGACTCACAACAATTCTTGGTAATAAAACTAACGGAGACAATACGAAGGTCACAAAATATGGAATAACCAAAGAAAAACAAGTTACAGGTTCATTAAATTCGGTGTTAGGGTAAAAGAATATAGAGCAGAGACGAAGAAAAGGATACTCTTCTTCTTCCTGTTTATAAGCAATTCTGCTTGTTCATTGGCGGATTAATACCTCTAAAGGTTGTCACTTCATCTTTTGCGCGGTCGTCCGATACTTCTTCTGCCGATTGGTGACTTCTCTCTAGTGATCTCTTGCTATTTTGATGACACGGGTCTCCTCCATTCTGCTTATGTGGTTATTCCATTCTTTTTTCCATTTATACACTGTACGTTACATTTTCTTCTAATGTATTCACTTCCCTTTCGACCTCCCAGTGTATTTCCTGCAATTCTTCTCAGTACTCTCATCTCTGCTCATATCTTGTTTCTGAGGCATATGTCATAATTGGTCTTACACTGGCTATAAATTCTTGACTTCATCTCAGTGTTAATGTGTTTCTCCATATAGTGTTATTAAGACATCCTGTCAGTCTATTTGGTTTTAGTATAGTATTTAACAAGTTTATACCTCTGTAGTTTCCTGGCTGTTTTTATCTTGCTTTTTGAATAGTAAAATTAGTTCACTCGTTCTCCATTCTTCCGGTCTTTTATTGTGTTTTATAATTTTATTAGTTATAAGTATATATAATACCATATTGAAACGTGGCTATGTATGGCTCAGACGTCTGGAAGTTAACACAAAAAGAATAACGTACTGGTAGTTGGAATGGATTTTTGGAGGCAATCAGCGAAAGCCTACATTAGAACATGTGAAAAATGAAGACAAAGAGAAATGAAAGTAAACGGATCAATTAATTATAGAAGATATCGAAAATCAATAACTAGTATGATATGGTCATGTAAGACGGACTAATGTCACAAGAAAGATTACAAAAACAAGTATTAGAATGGATACCATCAGAGAAAATAACGAGAAAAGCCCAACAGGAACATGGATGCAAGAATTTAAAAGCAATGTAACCAAAAATTGATCTGAAGATGGCAAACTAAACAAACTTGGCGAACAGGATCAAAGGCGGTCAATTCAATATTAAAATTAGTCGGTTCAAATCAAAACATTTCCAACAACAAATATTTAGTGTTTCTTGTTCTATATAGATAAACAGCAACAAACACAACGAATAAAAAAATTATTAAAACTCACCTGGGGCTGCCCATGTTGGATCTCTCCATACTCCTTCATGATTAAGATGATTCAGATTCAATTTACTTGAAGCATCTTTTGATTCGAGACCCCATAATTTTTTTGCTGCTGGAGCAATCTGCAACAAGGAAAGAAAACACGTAAAAATAACAATTATAAATAATGTAATTGAGTTTTCACATTGAAAGCAACAAATGGGTGATTACTAAATATTATTACTAAAACACCAAATTAGTGAAGGATATTAAATAAACTAAAAGGCAAAAGATATTCTTCTCGAAAGAATTTTACATGCATTTGTGAAACGTTATTGATACTGAAACATTTTTTGTTTGTTCAATTCTGTACGAGGTTTTAATTTGAGTCTAAAAAAATCTTCGAAAAGGAAAAACGAATTGCGTCTCAGAATCTTCGAGTAGAATAAACATAATCCAGTTGTTTATTATATTAACAAACGTCGAAAAGCGAAATCCAATCGTTAAAATAGTAAACTTATTTGTTCGTTTTATATATTTTTTATTTGTTTATGAATTTGGCGTCCTTTTTCCTTTTTATTTAGTCCAATTTTTATCTACTTCTCTTTCAGTGAGTAACAAAATTCTTTTAGGTTTAAATAATTGATGGATTCGACCGTTACTTGATGGAAATTCATTTTATGTAACAATAAAACACTGAAAACTTTGTTTTCAAACTTCCACAAAATTTATTCTAAATCTTATCACTACAGCTGTTTCGGCTGATTGCCTTTCTCAAGTGATCTATTTTTGGCTTGGGTTTACAAATTTATAGTCTCTAATGAAATAGGTTGAGGAGGGGAGAACTGTTTGTCTGAGACAGAATTAAATATAATTAAGCAAATAGCAGTAAACAACGGATACAAGGAACAAACAATTAATAAAATGTTAAATGAAAAACTACACAAGAAAGCCCCGAAATTAGTATTTCCACCACCAGAGAAAAAACCCAGTACCTTCTGCTCGATTACATATACAGGCAAAATAACAACAAAAATTGCCAAACACATAAAAAAGAAAAAAACACTTAAATAGTGGTGTGTACAACTTCAATGTGGCGACTGTCCAAAAACTTACATCGGTCAAACTGGTAGAAACTTTGATAAACGAATAGCAGAACATAAAAGGGCTTTCAAGAATAGAAAAACAGATTCGACGTACGCACTTCACCTTCTAGATCATAATCATTCTTTAATGACAAATTTAAAATTCTTCACATTCAAAATAAAGGCCTTAAGCTATCTTTGTTAGAATCTATGGAAATCAACAATTTAAAAAAACACAGATATAATTCTGAATGACCAACTTGAGACAAACAGTTCTCCCCTCCTCAAACTATTTCATTAGAGACTATAAATTTTGTAAACCAAGACAAAAATAGATCACTTGAGAAAGGCAATCAGCCGAAACAGCTGTAGTGATATGATTTAAAATAAATTTTGTGGAAGTTTGAAAACAAAGTTTTCAGTGTTTTATTGTTACATTTTAGGTTTAAGTTCAAAGCACTTAAAAATGAAGAGAAAGTCAAGAAAACTAACAGTGGAGCAAATTCTGACATATTCTGCTCACTATCGTTATCCAAAACTCTGATCATGGAATATAGACTTCTTCTTCTTATATCTATAGACATGACTGTCTGTTTTTCAATGTGCCTCCAGTAAGTTGTTGTTCCATTGTTTTTGTGGTCTTCCTACTGATCGTCTTCCTATTGGGGAACTGGGAATTCGGCTTTTATGATGTGTCACCATATGAGTGCCACCTCCGCCGCGGAGATGGCACTTGAAGAAGATTGATCCATCCTACTCTTCTATTTCTTACCCAGTTCTTGATGTTCTCCACCTTGAATCTGCATCTGTACTTCAAGCTCTGTCCCATAGTGTCTTACCATCAATTTTTCTAAGTTCTGGATATCATCATTGAAAACCAAGTTATCAGTGTCGCTTCATTTCCTTGTTTGATTTGAAGTTTTAAAGTAAATCCAACCAATCGTATCCCAACGTTACATTAGAGAGTTTTTAGGCCCTTTATTTTTCGATGGACGTTAAACGTAAAACGTTATACTTGTCATGCGCCTTGAATAATAAATAAGGGATAACGTTTTTACTTAAAATAGTTTTTGAATCCTTTCGGAAATTAAGCTATGACAGATTATCGTTAATTGACATTTGACGAACGTAACCTATAAAACGGCAGTTATAGGTCGATATAAATGGTATAAACAAACATGACAGTCGAATGTTTACCATTGCTTTTCAAAGTTTAGTTTGGTTTAAGACGAGTTATTTTTATCATTTAAAAAAGGAAATTAGCCTTAATGATATCTTTGTGTATTGTGGTGGTGAAGCAGAGGCCATTGGTTGAAGGGGAAGCAGTTTTCAAGTGATGAATTCTTTAATTTTAACTTCAGTGTTTGGAACTGACTTTTTAATATTATACATTTGTTGTTCACTTATTTTAACATTTAATGATCTTTATGTTTTACCTAAATAAAAACGAAGGCATTCACAAGGTAGTTTTTTTATTAATAATAGATTATTGAAACAAAATAAATCTTTTATTTACAAAATATAGTGACCAATACAATCATTCATCAGACAACCAAATGGTTTAATGTCAGATAAATCTGGACAAAAATATATACTGGAATACATTGCTGATGTACTTGGATGATTTTTACTACAATTTTCCAACATTTCTCCCTACAACAATGTTAAATACAGTTTAAAATATTGTGATGTAAATATCTGTATATTTCTTCTTTGGATTCTGTCCATTCCAATTTGTGTCATAGCAGGGTTATTGATTTTTGTCATTTAGTCATAATTTTGAAATTTACTAAAAAAATTTAATAATTCTATTCAAATCAACAGCTGTCTGGTTTGTTTATACCATTTATAGTAGTTTAAATTTATTCCGCCAAGGGTCAGATACTTTGTTTTCAATCGTGAATACTCTATAACCTATTTTATTTGAATAATTTGCTATAATCTAAGAAAATAGATGACGAAGACACAGAGAAGTAATATATTACAATTTGATAAGAGGCTTAATTCTTCACAATATTTTTGATCCTGTAATACCTGTTGCACCAAGACTACATTTTGTGTTGGAAACAATTGAAGAGAAAGATGCTGAACTAAATTTTCTATTTTTTTTATTCTATTATAGTTATCTTTGGTTCTGCTCTTAGACAAGGAAAGAGAGCTGCTCATATGACTCTTTTTTTGTTTTTTATGATTTATATATCTGGCATTTGACAACATTACAAACACGTAATCCCTTAATAACGTTAACCTTATCTTTACCTAAATAAGGGAATACCTTATCCTCTAATAAAGTAATCCGTTATTTTTCTGTTAATGCGCATGAGCAGAATAACGTATAACGTTTAACGTTACTGAAATAAAAACTCTCTATTACTCCAAAATCTGCAGTCAGGATTATTTTTGGTCGCATACTGTTACCCATTTATTTGTTTTTTTTTCTCAATTCAAACATCATTAAAACAATGTCTCGGCAAAATCATAATTCTTTAAGAAGTCCGTATAGGTCATACTAGTCTTCTACTTCTGTACATCCATATCTCACATCCAAAAAAACGTTATAGGATCATAATTCGGTCTTTTGTATTCGAATCCAAAAATTAAAAATACTAAATTACTATCAATTAAACGCATTATTAAATATTATCATCACGAGACATCAAACACAAACAACTCCACTTCAAAATTTAAATTTAAACACAAACCAGATAAGAGTTTGCGGTAGGTCAGTACTCCAAATTAATTTTGGGAGTAAGTTTACTTATCTAACGATGACGCAATTACCATTCGTAAAACCGTTCATTTATCAATTAGTTTAAGACTATTACAATATGCTGAGGCTATTTCAAATATTTTCTCGTGTAATAGTATGCATTTTGTGTATACATAACGTTCACTTATGTATAGGTATCGTTGCAATGTTGTCAGATCTACGAGTTTTAACTAAATATACCGATTTCCACGAAACGCTAAAAATTCTACACGTCGAGAATTATGTGTTACCTTTACACCTTCGCTAGAAGAAAAATATTGATAAATAGCCAGAACAAATGAGCTTCGGTGTCTTTTAAGAATACTGTACAACCTTTTTTCGTGCGTATATTAGAAAAGTACTGAGTAGAGTAGATACTTTTCCACCTAAGTGAATAAATAATTTCAATACCAAGAACATAATATTCTGCAACAATCTGAATTACATTTGTACATTATTTTCCCCGGTACCTACCCGCTCTGTATACACTGCTAGTATAATATTGAATTACACAAGGGAAGTCCCGTTAAAATTATTACCTTCGACTGTGAAATTTGAGTTCACAGTTCGAGTACCTCTTCTCGCATTAATCTTTTAAAGTATTTTTGCAGGCTTTTCTTTCTCTGCAGTTCTCGGATTGCATCTGAAAGCCGTCAGAGCATCGTAAACGCCAGACTGTGATATTATCTGGTGTACGCTCGACAATGGTCCGTGCGCATTTTATTTCCTGTTGTGCTTTTTCGAAATCTGTTTGTGAAATAAAGCATTTTTCGAGCTTTCCAGTTTTAAAAACTATAATTTAGAGGTAGAAGATGCAAAACGTTGTGCCAAAGAAGCAGAGTCGGAACAACATTAGAAAGGAAATAGGAAATGTTTAGATTTCACATACTGGGTTGACGAAGTTAAGGTTTAATAATTTTTCCGGTCTATATGGTCCAACTCATTCCTTCCAATTTTCTTTGGAGAACTAGTATCAGTATCTCCATCTACTTTCTTATGGTTGTCCAATGTATACGAGGGATTGTCTTCCAACACCACATCTCCAATGAATCGAGTCTTTTTCTTTCATCTGTATTCGCCGACGAATTTTCTGCTTACATCACCCGTAGTTATTGACGGTACTTCTTCTTCTTCACGCTTTAACATTTTCATTTTTTTAGCCATAATTGCCATAAAAACACTGCTGTATCATGATATTTCTACGCCATCCCGTAAACTGTTTATATTTCGTGGAATACCTCCATTTAAGAATTACTTTTGTTGTATAAGCAGTTTTGTATTAAAAACATATCAGCAAATCAGGCTCACTTTTTACTTCTTAAGCCAAGATGTCTTTTAGGTGCAGTATCGCGTTGATAACTCGTACTAGCAGTAAGTTTTTCTATTTTTTTTCTCTTTGTTTGATGGAGACAAATAGACAAATATAGACAAATTTTTCTAGAGTTCTATCTTGGGGGTGCATCTAGAGGTTCCACGGCCTACATTTTCAGTTCGTTGTTACCTCTACTGTTTCATTGTTTGTTTGGTTTAAAACGTTCACTAGATAAGATTGGCTTTTCGACTTGCTTATAAAAAGAGTTGTGTGTATTTTGAGCTCGCTTCACTACACCACACAAGGCATGAAGGTGAGAGCTTACTATAATTGACCTCTGAAGACATTTCATGATGGTTTTTGCAATTATATCAGAAATATATGTATATAATTTATTTTACGACAAAGTGTTAAGTTATTTTCTTTACTGCGTATATTAAGCGTACGAACCAAAAAGCTTTTTCGGTCGATAAATTGTAGTCCATACATCTCATTACACACTGTTCAATTTTTAATTAATAATTATTTTAATTTTGTTGAAACATCGACTATTTTTATATGATCTCATAACCACAGTTTATTTAAAGACTAGTTTGTTGTTGTCTGTACCCACTTTTAGTCATAATTTTTTAATAAATTACAAGTTTATTTATTTATTTTTTTATTTTATTTTGTTGACATAGGACATAGGACACAGGGAATTCCTAAAGATTGGAATAAATCTTATATAAGCTCCATATATAAGAGAGATAATAAAAGAGACTGTTCGAATTATAGAGGTATTAGTGTGACGAGCTCTGTGGGCCGGTTGTACGGCAGAATATTAAAGACGAGGGTTGAAAGACAGATACAAGATATTGAAGAACAAAGCGGCTTTTGTACCGGTAGATCCTGCCTTGGTAATATATTTATCCTACGACAAATAATTGAAAAGCGTGTCGAAAGAAGTAGAGAGACCCATTTGGTATTTATAGACCTTGAAAAAGCATATGATAGTGCCCCGTTAAAGAAAATGTTTGAGGTCCTCGAAAGGTCCGGATTGGATTAAACGTATCCGAGCGATATATTGTACGAAAATGCAGATAGTTGTGTAAAAATTGGAACCAGAATTTCAAATGAATTTAAAGTCAGTAAAGTAAAGAAAAGTCACCCACACTCTTTAAAATATACGTCCAAGAAGCATTGAGGAATTGGAGAAATAAATGTAGATTTATGGGCATCGAAGTGGTACAAAAAACTCTGTATACATTGTTGTTTGCAGATGATCAGGTGGTGGTTGCAACCGATGAGGAAGATATAAATTATATGAATCGAAAATTATTTGAGGAATATGCCAAATGGGAGCTTACTGTAAACATAAGCAAAACAGAATATTTAAAAATTGGAGGAAATACCACAGATCTGAGGCTTGAAAAAGCAGTCATAAAAGGTTGCAACCAGTATAAATATCTAGGAAGCATCATATCAGCAGATGGCAGAGTTAAGATGGATGTACAAAACCGAATAACCCAAGGGAAAAAATGCATCCGAATACTGAATCCATTACTGTGGTTTAATAAAATAAAGATGCATACCAAACTTCGTGTATACAGAGCAATTGTAGAACCGATTACCACATATGGTGCCGAATGTTGGACGATGACAAAGAATGAACGAGATAAAAGACGTTGTGGAAATGGATTATCTTAGAAGGTCATGTCGAGTATCGAGAATGGAAAGAATCAGGAATGAGGAAATACGAAACCGTACAGGAATTAGAGATACTCTTTCAGATAGAATACAAGGAAGGCAATTACAATGATATGGTCACGTGATGAGAATGGAGGAGGAGCGGTGGCCAAAGAAAGCCTTAATGCATGTTCCGCCAGAAAGAAGGAAAAGGGGAAGACCACCAAATTCCTGGAGAAGAGAAATTACAAAAACAATGCAATCTAGAGGCTTCGAAGAGGGAGATTGGAGCTATTTGACTATTATATAGACTTATTCTTTCTTATAAAAATAATCACGTAAAATTAAGTAATGACTTAAAAATAAATAAAATTCTGACCGACCCAAATTTTATTTTAACGGTTGTTTCATTGTCGAGACCCACGTAGGTCAATAAAACAGCCCCCTTACATAAACTTTAACCGTTCATCGTAAAAACCAACCCTTTAAAATGAGTACTTCCGTCACAGTGTCCTTACACCCTTACACCCCGCACCATCGTGCCGTCTAACGAGGAGCATATTTTCTTTGGCAAGAAAACTCGCAATGGGCAATTTCCACGGCAGCTCCCACTCGACTTACGAGATTTCACTCAAGCGGGAAAACGTAACGAATTTAAATTGGCGAGGAGGGTTTGAGGGGAGGTCGTTGCGAGGTGGAAACCGTAGAAAACGAGCCTCTTTTCCCGTCGAACCGTGAACGAATCCGGTCTTAATTATTTTTCCTCGCTATATTTCGGCGTGTTCTTCCATGTTTCATATGGAGATTGCTGCAGTTAGTTGACGAGTGTCGGGTATAATGAGAAATTTCAGCAATTTTTTCTCGCTACGCGTCACTTCACTTTTAATTGTCGACGGGATACTGGAAACACGATGATGAAGACTTAGTGTATATGATGCTTATCTTGCTTGTTCTCTCCGGATATACTTTCATCAGTTTTAACAATAACAGTCCTGAATTAACGTTTTAATGAGACGACCGTAAATGATAAAATTGTGAGACAATACGCAGGGAATGAAAATGAAACAAATAATAATTGTTATCGAACGATTTTTGAATCTTTATAAAAAGGAACTGCGTAAGGGGATGTGGCACTTTATAATCAAATCTGAGTGAATTTTTCCATTGCTAACTTGATATGATATTGATTTTTGAGCATTAAATAACTCATTTCCACAGAAACTAATTTCAATATTATTAAAATTGAATCTCAAGTTCTGCATTTGGCAAATATTCACACCGCATGAAACAAACTATCGAATGTATTCAATCATTATTCCATTTTCTAAAACCCTCCATCTGAAGTTGACTTCGGAAAATTACCTGTTGATGACAGCTCGTGATAGATTAAACATCAACTACCGCAACAGAACTTGCCCCTATTAGCCTATAGCATAATAAAACTATGTAGTTTATTTCTGCTATAATTACTTACTATATTATTGAGATAAAAAGGTTTGTGAACTTTGACTTAGCGATTGATAAGAGCAAACGGCAGATGCGAATGCTACTTTATGACGTTTATTGAGATTCGAAGGAAAATTTTTAATATAAATAATATTTAAAACTGGTTTGATATAAAATATTATATGCATGTCAATAATGTTTTTTAAAGATTATCTCTCTTAAAAAACCGGAAATCGTCATGTTTGAAAGTTTAACACTAAAATGTGAATTTGTTCATTTAAGAGCGTAGGAGCAACATTTTGGCCCGATGCTTTTTAAACGAATTCATTTTTTTCGAATGCTGAGAAAACTAACAAATAGCTTTGAAAATTTTAAACGCAGAATTAAAATTTACATTATTACCGAGGGCCGAAAGTCCTTTAGAATAAACAAAAAGTTTTTTTGAATGAGATATTTGAAATTAAAAATCAAACTAAATTTTCTCTTCTTTTTCACCCCTGTAACTTATTAAAATAAACATTATAGTAGTTTTCAGGGACTTTCGGCCCTCAGTAATAACCTATTCTTTAATTTTGCGTTTAAATTTTTTAATAATACTTATTAGTTTTCTTAGGATTCGAAAAAAATGAATGCATTTAAAAAGCATTGGCCCGAAATGTTGCGCATACGCTCAAAAATCTTGTCAAAATAAAATCGAAGTCGTGAATGCTAATTCGATGAGGTAAGCACGATCAATAATATGATCTAAGTAGGGGTATCAGGTTTGATAAGCCATCCCTCGGCATCCAGAGCTATCCCAAAAGTGCCCAATGATTCTTAGCTTGCTGTGGAACAACGATGGACAAGAACAAACGAACGGGAACAAAGCATCATTAGCTATTCCTAATCTATGGAACTGGTACACTTTTCTTTACTGGTTGTACTGCAGCCAATTGGCTCTACTACGAATGACCAGTTATGTAGCCGGAACCGACAGCTTTACGTGCCCTTCGAAGCACGGTGGCGCCTCAGTTAAATTAGAAATTAATAAATTTAATGGTGAATGTGCCGGATATCAATCCAACCGTGCTTAATAAGATAGTTAGCTAAAAAAGGTTTAGCTAACGACCATAAGTGGCATTGAGGAAATGGTTTTAAGTATGTACCTGTTCAAGTAAGAACTCGCTACAAAGAAAAGCCACAGAAGACGCTAACGCCAATCTGCAATGTACATTTATGTAGGGTAAGTAGATGTACCCAAAAGATCTTTCAGACCGCGATGTGGTCAATTACCTGGCCAAACGATACTACAAAATCTACAGTCCAAAATCACTACAGAATATGCTAATCTTAAAAAAAGCATATAAGTACCACTATTTTAAGTTGTCGCTGATTTCGAAAAAGCATTCAATTATAAGAAAATTCGGCCGTAATAAATGGAAAAATATACCAACTAGCAAACCAAATAGCAACTCTGAAATTTTAGATCATCTTTCGGAAGCAAGTGAAGAGGATGATCAGCAAGTAGTATTGAGTGATCTTCTTAAGATGCCTTCTCCATTACTGATGGTTGGCTATAACTACAGCAAATTGCTCTCATTTTTTTCTTCCTGGACCTCTTCTTCCTTCCACTTCCATTCCATTGTAAGTCGATTGACTGATAATGAAGAAGAATGTGTAGCTACAAGTTCCCATAATTTAAAGTATGTAATTTTTGAAACTAAGGAAGGAATTAACTGGAAGAGTCAACCACAACCGA